CGCTGGTTCTTCTGTCATCTAAACTCTTGGCCAGATTAAATACAGTGATTTTAACCAGGCGCTGAGGCGTTTTATAGGTAACTGTAACCTTAATGAAGTGAACGTTTTTGACTAGTTAACAATTAAAGACCTTAAAAAAAAAATGCTGTACATTGTCTGAGTAAGAGAGATGATTACTTACAGTCATTTTATAGATATTGTTGTAACGCAAATCTTGGAAGTTGAACAGTTCTTTGAGTGGATGTTCAACATGTTTTACAAACGCCTTTCTGCAAGGTCGGGCACGTTCCGTTTGTGGAGTATTGCGATATTGAAAGGGGTTATTAATGGATACAATTTATTGGCAGACGCTGTGGGAAGGTGGCCAGTACAAGTTGAGGATGCTGTTTAAGGATGATTATCCCTCGTCTCCTCCAAAATGTGAGTATTTTCTTGGCATGGGAGAAGGGAGAGAGCTGATAAAACTGGCTTATTCCGAGGAAACAGCGAAGGAGCGGTTTATATCAACAGCACGTTCTCCAGCACCGGCCGATCATGAGCAGAGTGCTCAGATTTATTAGAACCTCCCATGATTTCATTTGAGCTTTTCACGCATCCTTAGTTATTAATTATGACAGAAATATGGTTTTTCTCATGCTCTTCATTCAAAGGATTTTAAACTAAAAGCACACTTGGTTTTTGGTGTGTATTGAGACGTTACGCTCATTATATTTTTTGGAAGATGGAATTCTGCCCAGCCAGCCAGCTTCTTCAAAGTGAAATAAATAATATTTAACGTTTTCTTCTTATGGATTATTCTCCCTTATTCAGTGAATGTGTGGTTTAAAGAAACATGTGTTTCACTGTTGGCCATTTTTGTCTAAATGACTTTTGCTATAAAGAGAGTGAAGTCTCTCTTGGAAGATTGTGTTTATCCAGCACAAGTTGAGAGATCCTACACAGATCGACAGCTGTGAATTCTCCTGTGGCCTGGCACCATACAGAGTTACCTTACTGGGTTGTGGCTTGTCTGTTTGATAGATATGAACTCTACTGAGTACATGTAATCTTAGAAAATCCCTGCCATGGCCAGACATCTTCCCTGAGCATCCTGCATCTAATATGGTCTGTGGGTGTTGGTGGACCACAAGCTCTTGTGACTTCCACAAAATCTAATGTATAAGTCCTTATATAATGTATAAGGCCGCATCATGGTTGTATTAAATGTGCTTTATTTTGCCTGTACAGTTCCTCTGTAATGGTACTTGTAATTTTCAATTTGGCTACAGCCTGATGTTACCCCGACACCTTCATTATTTTATAGAACAGAATTTTTATTAATAAGGCGGCTGGAGAGCACAGAGATATACAATGTCTGAGAAGAATACCCCAAAAGAATACATTGTATGCAATACAAAGAAAAGCAAATAGCAGATTATAGCGGGCTTTACACTGAGACAGACCAGGTTATTGAAATTGCAGCCTGAGTCATAACAAACGGATCATTATAATCTTAATCTTTTGTCATTATGACCAGTTTGAAGAGCAAGTGGCAGTCTGCTAGTTTACAAAGTGCGTACTGTTATATATATATACAGTATATGCATCAAATGATTTTACTGACTGAAAATCGAAACTCTTCTGAAATGCTTATGTTGCCATTCTGTAAAATGCTTTCACCAAAAACATTGTGTAGTGGAGAATATCTATTTTTTTCAACAAAATGTGGTTGTGTAATGTTTTGACAATTCAGGAATGGTGTCAATCACATCTGCTACAATCATTTTCCTTCTGGTTCAGGTTAAAAAGACACGGGTCTGTTCCGGAGCAGTGCAATTTTTACAGATTTCTAACCGC